GGCTAGGAGGTTGATTAGGGGTCAAGAACATGAGGTATTTTAATCTCTCTTTACTTGGAAAATGGTGGGGAAAATTGGCAAAGGGTGAGGATTCTCTCTGGTCTAAAATTATTAAAGAAAAATATGGGAAAGTGAGTGAAAACTAGTATGAGTGGGTTAGGGAAGGTAGAGGGTATGGCTCTAATTGGTGAAAAGATATATGCAAGGTAGACAACTTAGATGTCAACAATCAAGGGTGGCTTTCTCGAGGTTTTGAAACTAGAATTGGGGATGGGAGTGTTGTGAGTTTTTGGAAAGACAGGTGGAGTAAGGAGGGAATTCTAGCTAACAAATACCCAAGACTTTATTTGATCTCTATAGGAATGGACAACAAAGTAAAGCAAATGAGAGAATGGCATAAAGAACGGTGGGAATGGAACCTGAACTGGAGACGAGAATTACATGAATGGGAAGTAGTAGCAAAGAACCAAATACTACAAAGCTTGGACTCTATCAACCTATAGCAAGGAGTTAAAGGCAGTTGGGTTTGGATACACACCAAGAATGGATCCTACATAGCAAAATTGGGATACCAACATATAACTTCCTTTCAAGACTGCAATTATAGACATGAATTTAATAGAGTGTGGAATAATTACATCCCATCAAAGATTTGCAGGTTTGTTTGGCAACTCATACTTGACAAAATTCCTACTAAGGCAAACCTATTCAAAAGGGGAGTAATCACACAAACCCATGAATTAATCTGCTGTTTATGTTATGAACATGTTGAAGATAGAGATCATCTCTTTCTAAAGTGCAGAATAGTGGATGAAATCTAGGACAAGTGTTACAAATGGTGGAATTTACAAACAAAAAACTTTGAAAATTACTGGGAGACATTCGTGAAGCATGCAGAATCTCCACCATATCTAAGCAAGAAAAAGGGATGGGGAGCTATTTGGTTCTCACTTACATGGATAGTTTGGCTAACCAGGAATAGACAACTGTTTAAAAAAGAAGAGGTTGATACTACAAGGATGTTCAATTTAATCCAAACAAGAGCCTTCCTGCGGATAATGAATAAAGGAAAAGACAAGCATTGCTTATTTTTAGATTGGATTATTAACCCCAACTTGTGCAGATTTTAATTTCACCTCTTTTGATTGTGGGATATTGTATTTTGCACTTAAATGTTTACGGGTTTGAGTACTCCTTATACTCACTATTAATAAAATTTCTTTGCCTTTCAAAGAAAAAAAAAAAAGAGTTATATATTTTATGTTTTGAATTAAAACCTTATAATATGGGCATTCAGAGAAAAGAGACAAATTGAAGTAAAAAAGAGACATATTGTAGTTACAAAGATAAAAGAAATTAATGAAATTTTGATGAATTATTGTATTGTGTTTATTTTAAAAAATTCTAATTGATATGAAAATCAATTATTAATTTATAATAAATTAATAAATGTTTAAAATGTTGTTTATATTTATTACTTAAAATTAATTTTAATTATAAAATAATATTATTATATTTAATAATTAATAAGAATAATAATACAAACGAACCGCACATATAAGACCCATTATTTAAATTAAAAAAGTAACAAATTAAACCCGATCGTAAAAAAAGAAAAAAAAAAGGAAGAAGAAGAAGAAGAATGAAACAATAAAAAAAAATTGTAAATCATATGCAAAAAAAAAAAAAAAGAAAATCAAAACAAAACAAAATAAAGCTGAAAGCCCGTTTTAAATCTTTTAATTTTGATATTAAAATGAGAAATTGTTTTCCAAAATTAACCAGCTGGCATCCGGCCTCCGTTATGTCTCCTCCATGTCAAAACGTGGAAGCGCTCCATAGCTCTCGAAATGAAGACACCAAAATGAAACGGCTGCCGCACCTCTTATTACGAGATATCCAGCCAAGCAAAATCCTCAGTGCACAGCTTGCACTGTGTCCCTCCAACGGTAACCTAGCTCACCTCATCATCATCTTGATTTCCACTGTTATAAATCCCTCTCTTAATCACTTTCTCTCGACTATCTCCACTTCTTTCCAGCTTTCTAGACTTCTCCCTAATTTAATGAAAAATTCTTTGTCCCTCATACATCTAGACATGGGTTCCCAAATTTTTCATGGATGCTTCATGGTTTTGATCATCACGGCCTCCGCATGGTTCATCACCTCATCGGAAGGTTATAAGTTTTACGTCGGTGGAAGAGATGGTTGGGTGGTTAACCCGAAGGAGAACTTCAATCACTGGGCTGAGAGAAACCGGTTTAGTGTCAATGACACTCTTTGTAACTTCCTACTCTCTCACCATACATACGTTACGTATTTTAATTAAATCTTCTAAAGGTTTTGATTTGGTTGTTCTGGTTTCTCCCTTTTTTTTTTTTCTTTTTTTTTGTCCTTTCTTTGCAGTTTTTAAGTACAAGAAAGGATCGGACTCAGTGTTGGTGGTGAAGAAAGAGGATTACTTCTCCTGCAACGCTACGAATCCGACACAGTCCATGATGGACGGCGATTCGGAGTTCAAGTTTGACCGTTCGGGTCCTTTCTTCTTCATCACAGGCAATGCTTATAACTGCAACAAAGGTCAGAAGCTCATAGTGGTGGTCCTGGCTGTGAGGCACAAACACTATTACCCACCGAAGCCGACTTATCCTTCCCCATCAGCTCCTTTGTCGTCTCCTGTTCCTGTCATTGATTCTCCACTTCCACCTTCCGTCTCGTCACCTCCCTCAGAGTCACCGGAGGCTGGTGGCATTGATGTTCCGTCTGGAATGCGTTCTCCGAGACCGGCTCCGACGTCGCATAAGAACTTCGGTTCTCTGAGATCGGAGCTGCCAACTTTGTTAGTGGTGGGGTTAAGTGTGGGTATTATTGTCGTTTTGGCCCCCTTCAGTGTCGTTTAGAGGCTTTAGAGAGGGAGGAAAATAGGTTATTAGTTTATTAGTTTTGGTCTTTATTAATTAATATTAGTTTTGTCATTTGATATTTTGGTTTTTACATCAACTAGTAATATCTTGTCATTTGATAACATATCAAAATCATTTTTGTTTCGGCTTTCGTGTACTAAATTTGGTTTTATATCAATTCTTTCTTAATTTCATTTTCATTGAGGCCAGGGTTTGGACCCAAGGGACTAATTAATTGTTTTAGACTTTTTAGTATTTAATTTCCATGATTCAAGCACCTCTTCTGGAAGTTGCACACTCGAACAACACTTCTGCATGCGCAAACTTCAGTTAAGGAAAATGTAAGGTTATTAATCCATATATTCGATCAATTTTATTTTTTGATACTTTTTTTTTGCAATTTTATTGAAAATTAATAATTATATTTATTTGAGGCTAAAATTAAAGTAAAAACACAAAAATTAATGTTATTCATTCTGCTGACCAAAAACAACAAAATGCTATTCATTCTAAATCATTCCTGTTTATGGAAAAAAAAAAATCAAGATGCCCAATATACAAAGTATATATGAATTTTAATTTTATTAAATTTATTATATATTTATTATTAAACATCTTAATATTTTAATATAAAAAGTTTTAATTTTTCCTTTTCTCTTCTATTTAGAAGTTATTCATTAATTTTAAGGCTCTTAATTCAGTCATTCACCCCTTTTAAAATGATTAAAATATTCAATACGATGATATGCTATCCAGCATACAGGAAGGATCACCCTTTGTTGCTCCTGGAACACTCTCTTTTATCTCCACGTCATATCATTGTTATGTCTTATAAGATCAAATAAAATAATAATTAGTGAATTTATCAAGAAATATTAATAAAAAAAATATCATTTAAATAAGCATGAAAAACTTACTTACTTTAAGATGATTTACGTCTCTGCGGAGAGTAAATCAACCGGTGTAGCAGAAATACATAAAATATGTCACCCTCAGGATATTATAGCTTTATAATAATACTTTATGGATCTGCATTACCCATAAAATCACTTTACTCAAAACATCCTTCTTTACTCAAAAATATTTAGAAAATAAAGTGAGGTAAAAAAGAATAGAGGAATGTGTAGAAAAACCATTTTTAAGCAAAAGATATGTCCTATTTATAGGACTCATGGTCTTGTAACTCTTATTTGTAGGTTAGTGGTAGGAATAAATTGAGCAATTATTATGAAATAATGTACCCTTAAATAAGACAATTAATTTCCAACAGTTAGTTTAATTAAATCCTTAATGGGATAATAAATTCAATTTATAAAATATATTATTTTATTTTTTATTAAAATATTTAAGTTCTTACACCTTTTTCAAAAACCACTTGTATCTATTGTATATCTCAACTTAAAACCTCTAATTAAAAACTTAATTCTTATTAATTATGAAATGTCTTTTTAGGGCTGATTTGTTTATCATATGCTTATTTAATTCTTAATTATGAGATATTCCTACATGACCCATTTTATATATAACATACCTGCTCACAATTAATTTTTTAAAGGTTAAATATCAAATTAATTTTTTAAAACTTATACAATTTAAATTGCACATATCCCTATTTTATAATTTTTATTTTATAATTTAAACTATAAAATTGCATTTTCTTAATTAACTCTTATAAAAAAAAATTGAAAAAACTAATTCTAAACTCGAGTTCTTTTTCTTAATTTGGATTTAGTTCTAATTTTGAAGGAGCAAGAAACGGGCACCTCCGGAGCCCAAGTCTGACCACACACGAAAACAAAAAGTGCTCCATTAATTCAACCAGGAAAAATCATATAATCGCCCCAATTTTATTACACCTCTCCCTCCCTATCTCTCACACACAAGCTAGCTCCTCCTTTGCCATGACCATGAGTCTCTGGCTCTCATTGCTTCTCCTCATCGTCTCCTCATCCGCAGTTTCGTTGGCTGAAGCATCCCTGTGGCGCCGATCCCACCTGTTCCATGTGCACCGCAGCGATGTAATGGGGGCTCCGCAAACCTGCCACGGCCCCTTGGGTGTTTGTATCAATAGGGATAATGAAGAAGCAATGATGTTGGACCCGGAGATTACCCGTAGAGCGCTGGTTCAAGGGCAGAGGTACATTAGCTATGCCGCCCTTAAACAAGATAATGTTCCGTGCAAACAACGCGGGCGGTCGTACTACAACTGCGGCGCCAGTGGCCGGGCCAACCCGTACCAAAGAGGGTGCAGCGTCATCACGCATTGCTATAGATTCACAAATTAAATTTAAGCGAATTACTAAGTAATATTAATAATATTTTATCAATAATGAAGGGCTTTTACTGGACTTAAGAAGAGCTTTCAAAACACATTTAATTGTCTTATTTGGTTCTTTATTTTTATTTTTTTGCTAGCTAATAATGTTATTCTGAATATCTTAAAAAAGAAAATTCTATGGTTTTGATTATCTTGTTTAATTATGAATTTAAGAATATGTATGTATCTCTCTTTTGTATTTCTTTATTCCCATGATATAAATGTACAATTGTATGTAGTTCAAAAAAGCAATATACTTCGTTTCTCTACGGACAGAGTTCCTAATGAAAATACCACTGCAAGATTTGAGTTTCAACTCTCAACTCTCCCTTCCTCACCCCCTTAGTAGTTGTAGATAATTATATTTGTTCAAAATAAATAAATAAATAAAAACAAAAAAGCAATATGCTTCCTCTGTTTTTGTTTAACTATGGTAGTTTGAAAATGCACATATTTTTAAGTAATATTTTTTCATAATATATAAATAGTAATTGAATTGTTTGATAAAATAAAAATAATTCACAAAATCTATGTATATATAAAAATAAACTATCACTCATATAACTATAAATAAGTATTACATAAATACCATATGTTCGTGGTTTCATAAGCAACTAAAAAAACAGAGGAAATATAAATGTATAGCTAACTATTTAGGGAGTTGAACTTTTATTTTCCACTCACCCCAACAAATTCTAGTGAATAAGAGGACTCAAAAACCTAACATGATCTAACCTATTTATCCACTGTAAATAAGTTCATGAGTTTTAGATATTAATTTAAACTTTGATATAATTTAAACTAAAATTATTTGAATCCAACTAGATTGAGTTAGGATCTAATTAAGTCAACTCAAATTGATATGATTAAAATTAATTAATTTTTTAAAATTTAAAATTTTAATTAATTATACTCTTAATTTTATTTTTTTTATATATAATAAAATTAAATACTATAAAATAATAATTATTTATTAGATTATTAAAGTTAACATTAATTTAATAGATTTGTTTTACTAAATAATTAATTAATATTAAATTTTTTTTTATAAAAAATTGATAAAATATTGAAAATTTTAAATTTTAATTTAATTTTTTTAAAAGTTGAATTCATCTTACTCAATTCGAAACATGTATGAATAGATCATGAATTTACTCCTTTTAATCCAAAATATGAAATGATCTAATCTGATAGATCTAGAATTCAAAGTGACTTAATTTGAACCATTCCAATTCAATTTGTCCACTAGGTCTAATTAATTGCAATTTAACACCTCTCTCCCTTCATGATAGTTAACTAGAGCAATCAGACTTTTGATCTAGGTTTGGCACAGATGATGCTAGATAGTCTACCTTTATTTCCATTTCTATAAAACTTTACTTAGAATAAATTGAATGTTACTAACCTAAGTTATAGAGCCTCTACTTTTGGGGACCACTGCAAGTTTGTTTTGTAGAACATGTCGAATGAGTTGAAGAAATCAGCTCTTATCATGATGAACTAAAGAGATCAGGCCTTTACCACAGTGAGCTGAAGAGCTTAGCTCTTATTAGGAAGCCATTAGGTTTGAGGTCAAGAGAATAAGAGTCAACAAGCTATTTTCGTGTAATTACAGAGGAGGAAAGAGAAAGATGAAGGATGATGAGGGTAAGGAAAGAGATAAGAGAGAGTGAGGGGAGAAATGGGAAGCTACAGTGAAATTGAATCGGTGATGACGATGAAAAGATGGAGCAAACTTGTAATTTCATAGGTAATTAGAAAAAAGTGCCAGAGTAGGGTGACATGACAGATTTGGACAAAGTGCTGACGATGAGCTTCCAGCACAAAGCCACGAACTTGTGGAGTTCAAGGGTTTAAAGTGAGGCATTTATATTTTAGGGAAACCAGCTTAAAACTTAACACTTTGATCGGATCGGGAAAGTAAACCAG